GGTGCTTTTCCTGGTGCTCCCAGTCCTTGGCCAGCGCACGCAGGGGGGGCACTGGCACTCCCGCCTGCCCCCCAGCCACCTGTCGCCTAAGCAGGGGGCGCTCGCTGTCAGGGGGTGCACCAGCGCTCTCAGGGGGTGCACGTGCACTCCTATATACCCCCTATGCATTGCCACTGGACTTAGTATATATAGGAAGATTTTGTTTGAATGAACTCAACCCCACAAAGAACATGAAAGATAAAACTTCTCTGCCCCGAAGTGCTTACAGCCTGTAGAGATAAGCAATAAATAATGACTTAGATACAATGGCCACTATGAAACCTGAAGCAGTGGAGCAGAATTCCTCTGTGTGTGTATGTTTTGTGAGAAATAAGTATCAGAATGTGATTCAAAGGTCATTTAACACTACATTCTTCAAAGAAGTATATTCTGAGGAGGAATACAATGGTGAAGAGGACAGAGGCCATCCCTACTGGGATAGCTGACGATTTACTTGAGTAAAGCAGGCATGAAATGCATTTCTGATGCCAAAAGTTAGTATTTTAAGATTTCAGTCACATGCAAGAAGTTCTCCCATCTAGAAATACAGACACACAGAGAACATCTTACATGTTGGCTTAGTGCACGACATAACTCTGGGTGTTAATTACCTGCTCAAGTGTTCCATATCACCACACAGATCAAGTAGCAAAATTATATCTATTAATGCAGGATGAATAGCTCTTATATAAAAGCTGGATATCAGATCCTAATAAATCTACGGGAAATATCCTAGGCATCTATGAAACAGACACCAGATGAGTACGCAATGCATTCTTTGCATATGCAAATTTCTATATATTGCTATCTGTTGAATGAGATTGAAGGGAAGCCATGGAATACCTCATTTTGACATCAAAAGAGCTGCAACAGAGTAATAAAGAAGCTCTAAACTATAACTTCTGGGCTGCTTCATGAAGCCATTCATTATAAAATTGCCTGTGTGGGAAGAAAATCAAAGGGTTTTATTAGGTGAATAAAAAAAAGTGGAAGGCTTGCTAGAAAAACATTCCAAGGTTAGTCCTGGTGTAGTAAAAAGAAAGAATTTAACTAAATACAGCTCATTAAAAAGGAGTCAGATGTCCATTAAAAAACATTAATTTTTATTGAATTTGCAATTGCTATTAAAATATATTATATTTATACCTATGGTTACTCAATGCTTAATTACTCATTTTTTTTTCATAATGCTTCTAAAATATATCTATATAATTTCTGAAAATAGTCTTATCCATCAGCCTATACTAAAGGCTTTAATGACCCTTGAACATAATGCTTTATTCTGCTACTATTACATCTCGTACGCACTCTGTATTATGTGTTAATGTCCAAAAAATATCTTTAAGAATGTATGATAATTTGCATTAATGCACCCACCCTCTTGTTCTGTTAAGTTTGCGGGCACATAAAATGTAACCCTTAATGTTTACCTTTGGGACAATTTTGAAAGAAAAAGCAAACTATATTGGAAGTTTCATCTTTGTATGAAAAAAAGGAATGTCCAAGTATATAAGCCTAATAGTATTATATGCATACCCTTGAAAAAAAATTGTGTATCATTTCCATTCTGGACAGCTTTAAACATTAGAATCCCATGACTAAGAAAAATCGTTTCAGATGAGTTCAGAAGCTGTAAAAAGAAAGAATGCTACTTATCCAAAATCAAGGCTAAAAAATCCCTATGGATAGGTTTGAATGAGAAGGGTCTTCAAAAGCAGCATAAAAAGGCTCAGGATGCAATATCGTATGGAGCAAATAGCACATGTATCCGTAACAAAGTATCTATGATATGCCCCTGGGGCAGGGGGCTGGACTCTATGATCTTCCGAGGTCCCTTCCAGCCCTAATGTCTATGAAATCTATGCTTTTAAGGTCATATTGTCAAAGGAGACTTGGAGATACAAACTATGCCTCTTATTTTCTAACTCTTTTCTGCCTTCTCTTAGAATATTTTATTTCTCCTTGTTTCCCTTAGATTTAACTGTGCAGTGAACTTAGCAGTTTTAGAGGTGCCCCAAGCTTTTTTTTGAGAGCACACTATGCACAATCTTCTGGTCTCAACAAATTTCACAGGAACCACACAAAATGTGTTCCCATAGACGAAGCTCTGATTGAACATCCATAAAGTTCCCCTAGGCCAAGATTTGACAAGTTAAACACACCATTCATGAGTTACCTGTGATTAGGAAAAACCTCATCAAGTATGAAACTTAAACTCACATATTCATGATTATTCCTATGCTGATGGGGAGTATTTATCAAACTACCTGTCTTACCAAACATACCTACGCTTTACCTTAGTGCACTCACAACCAGCTCCTTAATTATCATGAACAACTTCTGTTTATTAAGTCTGAAGAATATAGGTAGAAGCTTCAACACATTTCATTTTATTCCTGCTGCAACAGGGTTTTTTTTAATTTAAAATAATATGAACTTCTCCATCTGCTGCTAAAATATAAGAGTTCAGAAATGATGTTTGAATAAATAGTGTAGTAATTTATTTAACTCCCTGGCATCAAAGACACTTGGCATCATACAAAATTCCACTGGGCAGATTTTCAAAAGCTGGCTTCTGTTTTTCACACCTGCAAACTGCAAGAAAATTTTATGAGAAACACTGGATGCCTGCAAAAATGAAATCTGGCCCCATGTATCAAAGATTTTGGAAACACTTGCTTGGTTATTTGCTCAGCTGACTATATTTGATTATAGGTAATGTCCTCAGCAACATGGCGAGGATTACATGCTTACAGGAATCTGAGTGCATTAGTAATTGTGGTAACTTAACAGAATGAATCAGTCTAAAGTTTCACCCTCCTCCTTTAGCACTCTTCACCACAGAGCAGAAAACTAAGGCAAGCCCTGAGTGACTCTTTGTGATATAGGTAGACATAAGGAGATTAGAGAGAGATTTATGGAGCATCTTAATTTGCGCAAGTCTCCAGTTTATATTATGAAGGAAATTAAGCTCGCTTCATATCATAGCTGGAATCCTGTAAAGACTAACATCGTTCACAATCTCTGTCAGTCTCAATTCTCACGCTCAAAGCAGTTTCCATGACTGCTATGGATTAATATTTTTAAAATGGACTTGCTAAGTGAAGATGCAAACTATGCATTCTATTTTCTAACTCAGTGGGTGCATCTACACGTGCAAATAATCCAGGAACAGTTTACTCTCAAGTAAACTCTCCCAGGTATATGTCCACATGTGCAGTGCTGCGGTAGTAGATTTGCTGCTCCTGCTCCCTGTGGCCCTGCACTGGACCCCTGCAGCAGCTAGAGGGAGCTCTAGGCTCCCCCTGGGTGCTAGCCCAGAGGCCAGGAGACAGAGGGGCTGGAATTGTGGAGCTGGCGCTGGGAGATAAGGGTCTCCCAGCCTGGGCCCATGTATTGCCTCTACATTGTTCCTACCTGGGCTCCAGTGGTGGAGCCTGCCCCAGCAGCAGGCAGCTTCCAGGGACAAGGAGCAGTCTCCCGCCCTCTGCTGCCGGGCTGACTGGGAGCACATTTGCTGCGCAGTAAGTAATCTCGAGTAAACTTGTTACTTGCATTTGCAGGTAGAAGATTTAGTTGCGATTAGAGCCAGTCACTGCTCAGTATGTGTCTTCATGTGTAGACGTGGACGCTTACTGCATAGCAGCTAGCTCTACTATGCAGTAATGCATCTCATGTAGATACATCCAGGATTTTTAGAAATCCATTCCATGGAACCCGGAGGTTCCACGATAGGTTATCAAGGGTTTCACAAAGAGATATGGGGTAATAGTGGAGCAGACTGGGTGACCTAGCTCCATGGCAGCTCACACAGCCTGTGCAGCCACGGTTGATATGAAAGAGTTCCATGACTTTTGGAAGTTTGAAAATGACTGTTTTAACTTGTTTCTTCCTTCTCTTAGAATGCTTTATTTCTGTTTGTTTCCCTTAAAGTTAACTATCCAGTTAACTTAGTAGTTTTAGAGAGTACATGTGGTTTCCACTATATTGTCCATATAGTTCTATTACATTTTTGTAAATATCCAGCAAAGTAGTATCCAGTTTGTGTGTGTGTGTGTGTGTGTGTGTGTGTAAACATAACATGCTGTTTTCATTGATGATTCAGAGAGAAAGATTCATCACAGTAATTTAAGTATCTCTATTTTTCATACCCGTTTTGACCCATTTCTATTATTAACAATTTGTATAGTTCATTGTATTAGTTTGACATTAGAAAGAAAGTAAGAGAGGAATGGAATTCTGCTGAACATGTTATGGATTGTTATAGTCTAGGAATGGCTGATGGGAAAGATGCCAAACAAATTCCACCGGGATATTACTAAATAGCTATAAATGCATGAATAATAGTTAAGTTTTATGCTCAGTACAAAGCTCCTCTAGATGTCAGTATAACATTGTAAAATATAGATACAGTAGGCTACAAAACTAATACTGTGATTTATATGCTCAAATTTCTGGTAACTTTTTCATCATCTTGCAATAAATTATATTGGATCATTAAAAATGTTGTTACCAGAAGTTGATTAACAGCAAAAATCTATTTGAAATCTGTCAGTAAGGCTATTATTGAATATTTTAATAGAAAATTAAATCTTCCTAGCTTTGTTTTAGACTAGCTAACCCAGTTTTTCACAGCTGGTGAGGCAACAGCTAATTTCTTGAGGATTATTTTTCAGTCCCGGCAGCTTAATTCTGCTCTTTCATGGGCTATTTTCACACTAATATAATTCCATTGATTCCAACTGAGTTCTCCCTGCTTTCTGCTGATGCAAGCAGCATCAGGCTGCTAGTATCTAAACCCAAGAGCACTCATAAGTAGAGTGAATAATATTTAAAGGGTTTTTTTATTTAATTCACACAAACTGTTTGGTTTTGCCCACAAGAGAAAGTGTGATTTCACAATGAGTAGCAGAATATGAAAGCTGTGCTGAGTGACTAAAGGATCATTTGTATTCCCACAGTTGATCACAGATCAGAAAACAATAGAGAAGTCATATTTAAGAGTGCAAGGAACAAAGAATGTAAAAAAGCAGAACTTCCCTGATTCCACAGGTAAGAGAATTCACACTGCTCCGGTTCTAATGCATAGTCCAACTGCAGTACCTTTAGTTACTCACACAGAGACAGACTTACTCATACGACCAGTCTGACTGAAGTCCATAGGCTACTCCCATGACTGGGTCCTAGCCAACATGAGTAGTGTTGCCCAATCAGCATCTAAACATGTAAAGATCATTTGCCATGTCATGTACAGTACATTATGCTTTGTATGGCCATAAGTACTCCAAGGAAGTGCTTTACTTAAAAATATATGTTATATTATCCATAGCTTGAAACAAGTTTCAGTATGAAAAATGTTTATAAGGAGAATATCTGAATATGTAGCTCCATTACATACTAGATTAACATGTTACTTTGGTTGACGCTCATGACCATTACCATTGTTTAGGAAACATGTACATAGACCTTGGAAACTGGAGGAGAAAAGCAGAAATTGACTCAGAAAACAACTGAAATTATGCTAACCATGCAAGACTTTGTTAAAATCCTTGGGATTTTCTTATTGTTTCTAGAGGGAGCCATCCAGAAGAATGAGTCCTTCTCTCACACAGAAAGGGTTCATAAGCTCAACAAAGAAAATGCTGAAAAGGCAAATGGCTTTTTGATTCAAGAGCCAAAGAACAAAGGGAAAGGTTTGGAATGCTACTATCAGTATAGAGGGAGGTCTGTTCAAAACGGGGAAGAGGATACTGTTGATGGCAACAGTCAATGGATAAAGGGCAAAGAAGAAAGAGAGGAGAGTAAATCCCTGGAAGGTGAGAAGAGGCTTGATGGACAGGATGCCTCTAATGAAGAAAGGCAAGAGGAGGAAGATGGAGAAGCAGAAGAAGAGGAGGAGGAGAAGGATGCAGCAACTGTGTCCCAAAGTGAAGCTGAGAGACATGGTGATGGGGATCCATCACAAAGCCAGGGCCAAGATGGATTGCCCCAAAGGTCAGGTTTAAAACTGCATACAAGTTTATTCTTAAAGACCCATACAGTAAAAATACATTTAATTCAAACATCAATCAAGGTGGCTGGTAAATATATGAACATTTTTTGTCTGATGAATGATGAGGTAAACTTACTTCACTATCCAAATAAAAATGTTTTTAACAGACTGGGTCCCAAACAATTTGCTACATGTGGGCCATTTGCTCAGAAAAAAGTTTAGGCATAAGAGAAGGGCAATTGGATATGAAGCAGTTCTATATCTCTGTAACCCTCTACATCATGATTATATCCCAGCACTATTGCCATGTGAGGGAGGTAAGGTTAGTTTAGGCAGTGTGATGGGTTGGAATTGTACCGCAGCAGTAACTAATGTAAGTAGTAACATGGAACTATGACAATTTGCACAGGGAAATTAACTCATTAACTTGTTTTCTATACTTCCTTCTGTGCTGTATTATTTGTAGCCCAGGAGGCAGACTAGATTTGTGCCATCAGAGATGGATTAGCAAGAGCTTTTGAAAGCAGAGGGCTTGTTTCATCAGACACTGTGAATAGACTGCAGTAAGTAGAGGTGCTAAATAGAACGCATTGATTAGAATATTTGTAGTCCATCAATCTTAAAGCAGGGATCTTTAGAAGCAAAGAGAAATCCTAATATTTTTTCACTACTTTAAAGATGCTGTCAATAGCAAAATACCAACTCCTTAGAATTCGGGCAGTTGTTTCCAAAATAGAGAATTTGATACAGTTGGAATTAACATAACCATCATTTCATTCCACAGGGCAAGCTTAAAATAGTTTGTTTATTCTTATAATTTTACACAATGCTTTTAAAACAATCACCTATTTTTCACCTATTCCCTTCAGCTTTAAGTTTAGACTGGTCTAACATAATACTTTGTCCTGCAGGTATAAAGGAAATGAAAAAGTTATAGGAAAGAAATCTGCAAGAACAGACTCCCAGAACACTGAGCAGAATTGCCAATTTGAGCATAGTATTAGCAGCAACCTTCAAGTGAATGAGGAAGGCTTCATGAAAGATGACAACAAAGAGAGCAGGGTAGATACAGAGAACGCTGGTGACAAGCAGAAACCTGAAGCTATTAAACCAAATGCCCCACAAGAACTAGAATCAGCTGATTCTACTGGAACAGAAAGTGAGACCCACTCAGAAGCATCTACAGAAGATGATGATTCTGTGGCTGTGATTGGTAAGAAATTGCACCTGGGCAGAAACCTCCCCTCCCTCCCCCCCCAGCCCCTCCCCATGTACCTATTTACATGCCCAGGCTACATGCTCTCCCCCACCTTGCTTCTCTCGGTTCTTGGAGATCTCAGAACATCAGAGACTCCCTAGACCTGAAGAAGGGTGATTGTGCCCGAAAGCTGGCGAAGAGTTTTTTCCAACTACTCAGTTGGTCTAATAAGAGATATCACATCTACTCAGAAAACCTTGCCTGCCAATTGGGAGTAGAAGCATTTGTTCATTGGCTGGAGCTGGGTGTAAATCAGTGTAGCAGGTTTTTAGAGGCTTCTGTTCCAAGAGAAGGAAGTAAAAAGTGGCGGGGGAAATTAGGAGGGACTCCTTGCTTCTTGACTGGCCGCCAGGGGTACACCAACTAAAAAAGCTTGAAAACCCCTGATGTATGACATTGCATGGCAACAAAATAATTTATTTAGTTTACCTTTAGATGCTTCTGGAGTGTATATTACCATAGTATCTGCACAATTCTGGATGTGGGTTGAAAAATCCTGTTGCTCACATCAGAGCCACTAAAATCTGAAGTGGGAACAACTGAAGCTTTTAAATTAGATTATATTAACTCCTACATAGAACCTTTTTTGATGTCATTGAGCACCTACACAAGTAGTGCCCTTGATCTCAATAATGGAGTGCTCACAAGGGAGAGACAAGTTTCCAGACCTGGACTGCTGGTTTATAATTTCAGGGCCTGATTAATGCATATGTAAATGAACAGATGATCTGAAAGACTTAAAATTACATATATAAATATATACACATACACACATATGTGTCTGAAAGAATGGAAGAACAAATGAATCCTGTGCTTTAAAAAAAATGCATTATCATACAATAACATTCCAAAATAAACTGAAAGATGTTTAGATCATATAATATTGCAGTGTTCATAAAATCTTAAGCTTGAAGCATACTTAACTCCTTACAGCAATTCTTTTAAAACTGGAAGAAGTTCCTTGTATGAGCAAGGGACAGGATCTCTGTAAACAAAAAAGGGTAAAAAATCAGGGAATCTCACAGGATGAAGCCAGTTTCCAGGCTTAGTATTTCACATGCACTTTTGAGTAAAATTTGACATTGGATCAGACTGATGATCATACTGGTCCCATCCATCCTTAAACCTATTAAATTAAAACATCCTAGCCAAGAGATGCTAACATTTTATGGGCTTAGCAATCTCTTTTGCAAACCTGTCTCGTGCTGTTATCATTTTTAATGTGGATTTCTTGAAGTTTGTAGTCAAATCCTTCCCAAATGGTAAGAAAGTCCCTTGGCATTTCTATAGGACCTGATAAAATGCAAGGGACTATAGAGGCCTGCCGTTTAACCACCGCAGAATACAAAATAGATGCCAGGATTCCAAGAGACCTGGCTTTTCACAGTTCCTTGACCATGAACTAATTCACTGGCCATATAGGTTACTAACATGTTTTTAAAAATCTAGGTACACAGCTGGTGTCCTGGAAAACTGGACTTTTTTGTAAATAGGGACAATCCATTATTACCTTAATGGGCAAAAGTGTTTTAGCCAGCTGCACGCTGTCATGGATTTTTTTGTTTTTGTTTTTTATTTTTAATCATTTTCACTGAAGTAATGAACAGTTTTAAAATTGCTCAACAAGTTCCACACAAAGGAGAGCCAGCATTCCAAACCACAGAGATCATATAGAAATGTTGCCACTCTGGCCTTCCTTACTAGTCAAAGAAGTATTTGTCACCTTGGTCAGCCAAAGGTCATTCCCAGGAAAAATCAATCAACTGAAAAACAATGTGGGCATGGAATGAAAATCTAAAGACAAATTACAGGCTAAAGACAAATTATGGTCAGAATAGGAATTATTACACAAGTCAGGAAGTGAGGTGCAATGGATAGGACACTGAGTGCAACTCAACACTAGTGTTTACTCTGTGTGACTTTACTCTGTGCCTCTTTCCGCTTTTACTTTTAAATGAAGGAGTTTCAGGGCACTTACCATGATTTTAGATGTCCTGGAGTCTGATTTCAGTTGGAAACTCTAAATGCGACTGTGTAGCAGTAGAGTAACTACAAAAAAACAACCAGGGCACCAGCCCTATACACCAACGTCGTGGGGAGGGTGGCACAGAAAGAGCAGCCTTTGAACTGCTGGCATGGCCAGGGTTACCAGCAGCCTGCCTGCAGCTGTTGACCCTGTGGCACCACTGCTACCCAGGGAGCAGAACCAACCAGCTGTGCCTCTGCTACATGGATTTGCGCATAGGAAGCTATGCCAGTGCAAAACTCCCTAATGCTGACAAGCCATAAATCTTGCCTTTAAACACAAATGCCATGGAAGACAGTATTAAATATTGCATAATTCAGAAGCTAGTGGTTGGAGGCACTCTTCATCATGTATGGTGAAGGCAGGCAAATGGCGTAGATGGGTCTAGAGAAGGTCATAGTGATTCTTACTGGCCTTTTAAAAAGTGGCAGCAGCTACCAGTGGCATCTATAACTGAGTGTGTGTGGTGACCCCAACCCTCTGTAGCTTTAAAATAGTGTTGCCGAGGTTACATGCCCTCCTCCACCTTGTGCTAAGAAAAGAAGCTCCCAACCCATGATGTGGAATATGTAGTGATCAGTGGGTTCAATAAGCAGGCATACAATGAATAAGAAGTAACAACAATGAACTTTATTGTGGAGCAGTTGACAACTTCTGCAGACCCTGCCTCTCACTAACTAAGTAATCTGACTCAGGAGCCATCTCCCAGTTCCCAGCCTCTATAATCTTATTAGTTAGGGAGCATCTTTAAATTACAACGTCTAACACTTCAAAAGACAAAAATATTAATAGGTGCAGAAATCAGCAGTACCTTAGCAAAACAAATGATTCCTCACTGAAGTACAACTTCTCCATGAGATGGGAGGCTGTAGGAGGCCTCAGAGAGAAAAGAACCACAGCAAGAAAGTGCAGGATGGGAATTATAGCCTCTACACTGATGTAATGGAGTACTGATTTGGGGGTTGACCATGACGGCCAGGAGGTTCAGTTTGATAACAATTGACTAGCTGATACCCAGGGGCTGCATCTGTATATATATTTAAATGTACCTGTGCCATTTTGGAAAAGAAGGGCTCCCCTTCTCTTAATTCCTGATGTAGCATCCCTTCTGAGAACATCAGATTCATTCAGGCTGCATTCAGTAACAAGATTTTCTCCTGAGCCCAGCAGAAGATGTGACTTTGAATGAAAATTTGTGGTCAGTACATTAAATCCTTAACTATCTTGTTCCCAAGTGGTTTTCCTGTCAGTACTATCATACCATCTGCCTGTCTTGTGTTTCGTAGATGATAGCCAAAATCTTCCAGCACCATTTGATCATCGAATCGTCTCAGCAAAAAGGGCAGGGATCAGCAGTTATTATTATGTCAACAAGAAGGACATTCTTGGACAGTAAGTGGAATGAACGCTATCAGCAGAACTTTACCTCAGCCAGCGGCATGCAAGAAACAGGGTCATATAGCCATTTTTCACTAGACGGATCTCAGGGAAGGGTGTTTTGCATTGTCCTGGCATCCAGTGGATGAGATCAGTACAATATAGTGTATATATTTTATTGCCGTTTATCAACGTTGTTCAATAAAATCCAGTCATTACAGTAATGATAATGCAATATTTTGGACTTTTCACTATATTGGTTTAGAACAGCAGGTTCTGCCTTTATCTATTGCCTCCTAAACTGAAAGAGTATCTCAAGATGATGTAACACAAATATATTTCAATTTTTAAAGATAATTTATAGCAGGAAACAACAAGAATGTATTCATTTAGAGGAGGAATAGCATACCATATTTTCTCACATATAACCTGTATTTTCCCCAAAAACCAGTTGGGAAAACTGGGATACAAGGAAAAGGGCTGTCCACAGGTCCAGAAATTTTTGGGGGGGCAGAGGGGGGCAAGGGGGAAAGAGCAGTGGCACCTGGAACCCATGGCAGTTCATGCTGTTATCACTCTCACCTTCCCTCTTCCCCCCTGCCACCAAATTTCCAAACCCGTGGAGAGCCTCCTTCTCCAACTACACAGTAGATCAGGACAGCACGGGGGGAGGAGGGGGGCATGATCCATGGCTGGATGTGTGCCATGTCTTACCCAGCACATGCCTCTAGACCTGGCAAATGGCTCAGGAGCCAGAGTGCAGCCCCAAAGCCAACATGCTGGATTGGGTCCTATCAGAGAGCCCCAGCTCCAGTGTACTGGATGAGGCCATGGTGTGTGGCCCCTGCCACATCGTGCAACCCCCAGTCCCAGTGCATGGCTGCAGCCTCAGTGTGCAGTCCCTAGCCCCAATACAGCCAACAGCCCCCAAACCCAGTGCACAGCTCCCAACCCCAGAGACCCCAGCTTACCTGTACTCCAAAGTAATTTTTTTCCCCTTCTTGGGGTCTTCTAAAAATAGGGTACATGTTATATTTGGGAACATGTTATATGAGAGAAATTTGGTATTTAGGGTGAAATTGTTCCCCTTACGTAAGCAGCTGTTTTGAATACACTGGCTTGGGGCTTTGTATGGGTTCATAATTATGGAGTGAATGTTACTGAGTCAAATAATATAAAGAAGTTCCTAAATAAAAACTGTGTGTGAGCTTCATATACTTAAATGTAGCAAGTGTTATTTCTAAAATCAGATAATGATCCAAAGATTGAAATGGAATGTGGAAGGTTCATTAGGAGCCACCTACCTAGGCCAAGTGATAACTTTAAGTATATAAAATTCACACTACATGCTAAATGCAAGCTCTAATTGCAAGCTGAGGGTTTTCTTTTTTTTTCCTTAGAGGGAGATTTGGTCATGTGCACAAATGTGAAGAAAAGGCAACTGGTCTCCAGTTAGCAGCAAAAATTATAAAAGCCAGAGGTTCTAAGGAAAAGGTAAGTATCCTGTAATGTGAACATTTCCTTCTCCAATATGTCCCCACTCAGGGCTCCAAACAGAGAAGTCAGGCTGGAAGGGACTTCAAGAGATCACCTTATTCCAACCTGTGATCAAACCTGCAATGTCAGTATTATTAGCACAATGCTCTAACCTACTAAAATACGTGCACTGACTGCATGGTCCACAAGCCATCATCTCTGTTTGATGGACTAGGTTACAGTTAGCTTGTCTATTTCCTTGAAATTATGCCATCACCAACCTTTTCTTTCATTTTTTCTGTATTTTTTTTTAATTCTCCTTGTTCGTATCTTCAACACCCCCACCCCCTATCAATCTTATTAGCAACATTTTAAAAAGTAAGAGTGTTTACCAGCTTTCAACTTAGCACATTCCCTCAGTAAAGCAATGCAAATAGGGGTATTCATTTTTCTGGATTTTGATAGCAAAGATAGTCTGGGGTCTATCTGCCAGTTCACAAGAGTTGAGAGGGATTTGTCTTGACCTATGTATGGCACTTCTGAGTCTTGTATTCATGGCACAAAGGCTATTACTGCCTGCCACAGTGTCACTGATGGTGCCTGCCTTTCCCCATTCCCCACACTAGTGTGAGGTGACTGCCAGTGGCACCCAAAGCTTCCTCTCCTCACTGAGTATCCTATATTTGGCTTGTGTTATACAGGAAATCAAACCAGATGATCTAATATTCTTCTCTTCTGGCTTCCAAAATCTATAAATCTGTAAAGATTCTTCTGGTGGCAGGAACAGCCAGAGAAAAAATGCCAGGGTTGGTGGACATGGGGCAGTAGTGAGAATATAAGTATGATGTACTTATCCACATCACTCCAATTCAAGCATTGACCTTACCCCAATTTGTTAGCTCTGTTTTATAAATGCCACAGGTATAATATATTCCTTACTTTTCACAGGATGAGGTTAAGAATGAAATCAATGTCATGAACCAGCTGAACCACGTGAACCTTATCCAGCTGTATGATGCCTTCGAATCCAAAAACGACATTGTGCTGGTCATGGAATAGTATGTGTCTCTTTCCCTCTCTTTCTGACCTTGTACCTTGTCTCAAGATTTCAGTTTTCCACATACATTTTCAGTGAAACTAGAGATGGAGCTTCTCTGAGGTAGAAAGGACATATGAAATATCTCACAAGTCACAGGAATAGGATTTAAGAAACGGTTTTCCATAGTATACATTTGCTAATTTTTTGAACAGTGCTCCACTCTCCTGATGATTTAAGACATGTCTACCCATTACACCATTGCCTGATACTCCACAGAGAGAGTATTTAGATGACAGTCATGTGATGTAGCCTCTGTAATTTCCATTAGGTGTTATTCTGTCATCCATGAAACAGACCTCTTGGAAAATCTCCAGTTTATGTGAGGCAAATAAAAAGGAGCCTTGCAATGGAGCAAGAAATAAAGCCAACCCTTTACTGCTGAGCAGTACCCTTGCATTGGGTGCCTAGGCTGACTTAATGGTCATTACAGCCAGCTTAGAGGTGGGGTTAGACACAAATCAGCCTCAAGGCACAGGAGAATCTGGAGCGGATTGTCTTAGAGGAAGCTAAAGCTGTTGTATCATGCACATGGAGGAGGTTGGGACAACATGTACATTATATTGACTTTGACATGTCTTAGCTTCCTCAGCCTTAGGTTCACCTCTGGATTTGGCTTGCATACTTCATATATAGTACAGTTAAAACAAGGAACAAATACAAGCTCCCATGTAATATGACATAGGACCCAGAACCTGGAGGATCCTGGGGAAGCTTGGATCTCTATTCAGGGCATTGATTCTCCACCACATGAGACTAATATGACTTCATTGATTTCCCTGGCTTAAAGTAGCATAGGACAAACAGTAACATAACTAAGGTGGGGCAACCAGAGTAGCTGCTTTGGGCACTGACTTTGGTGGGAGAGAGGACAGGAAAAATGGCTGCTGTTGCAACCACACAACCATGCCAGCCATGCGAGGGTAACTGGAAATCACCGCTGCCTATGCAGATAGCAGCTGCCCTGGGTACCCACCCATGTCATTGCACTTCTGTCTCCACTGCAAACTAACCATGCTCCAGAGTGGTATCCTCAAGCACACTGTACTACCCCCTTGTGAGATTCTTTTGGATATGTTAGCAGTGTAGTCATGTCCCCCGGGTGGCAAGGTAATTGGTGCTGTCAATCAGTGGCATCAACTAGCCCACCTGAAACAGTTCAAGATCTGGCTACACTGCATCTGATTCAAAAAGCAGTCCATCCAGAGCAACACAGCATACTTGAGCACAGAAAGATTAGCTTGTAGACATGGCCATGAACGCAGCAGAGAATCAAGCCTAGACTTGGGACTGATGTCAGTTAGGTGGATCAAAGCAGGTAGATTCCCTGAAAGCCAGCTTGGACTCACTCACTGTTCTACTATTTTTCTCTTTGCAGCGTGGAAGGAGGAGAATTATTTGACCGAATTATTGATGAAAACTGCAATCTGACAGAACCGGATACTATCTCATTCATAAAACAGATCTGCGAAGGCATTCAGCACATGCATCAGATGTACATTCTTCATTTAGATTTAAAGGTACAAAACTTGATTACTTGGCCTCTACCATAGAAATGCACTTTCCTTAATGAAGGCTACTGGGGCTCTATAGACTCCCACAACATAGATGATAATGAGCCATACTGCGATCTCTCATCTCTTTCAAATCTGTGTACATTTATTGTAATTGCATTGACTCCAGTTGAATCATTCCAGCGTAAATGAGATCAGAATCAGGGGCAGGTCACACTAGTATGAGCTTTCTGAGGAGGACTTTTGCAGCAAGTCAGCAGCTACAATAATGTCTCTTTATCATCTTTCATCTGTGGATCTCAAGGCACTATACAAACATGAATTAATTCACATTATTTCTCAATGACATTGATAAAATGAGAAGTAATAGTGTTTACCAATAAGGAAACTGAGACAACTGAGAAACTGTTGTCCCCTTACAGCTAATCCGTTTGGCAGGTGTGGTTGTTGCCAATACCCCATAGGGTCTGGCCTCTGCTGCTTCTGGGGCTTCAGGGGCCTGACCCTGTGAAACAACAGCCTTGGGGCATACCTCTGCAAGCTGGGTGAACTTGCCATGGGGTCTCCACTCCAGGCATGCCCAAGGTCAGGGCCAGGCAGCATGAAATGTGCACCCCAGGAATCCTCTGCAGGATTTATTTGATTGCACTATAAGCACACAGACATCTGCCACAATAAAGCAGCAAAAACTGTTAGTAAGACAGTCAGACTGCCCTTTTTAGGCATAAAACGTTTTATGGCCAGACAAGGGTGAGGCCTTTTTGCAGCTTTAAATTCTTTTCTTGGAGCTGCTCAGTTTTGGCGTAGAGTTAGGAATGCTGGAAAAGAGGCACAGTTACATTCAGGGAGTTCTCAGCAGAAACCCCTCCAGTTACATAATGGCCATCAATGGCAATTCCATACAGTCTTGCTGTCTATGACTAATGAGTTTATGGCAGGAAGCCTGTAAAATGGAAGTGGCTCATCAGGGCCTCCAAAACTCCAGTACAGGACATATGGTTTTTCAAAATCCAAAATGCAAAGTGAATTTGTGATGGCGACAAAGGCTTACTAATGGTTTAAGTGTTTAGGGCTGTTTTCTTTCAAACAGGACTGAACGAGCAACAAGACAGGGTAGCTATAAATTTGCTTGGAAGGAAACATAAGACTACAATTTAGAACTTTACACTTGAAAGACAGCAAGCCAAATTCTGCTCAGTTGCTCTAAGCCCACAGTAATTCTATTGAAGCTAATGCATTTATGCCAGTGAAAAAGAGAGCTGAACTTAACCCTGTTGAAATCTAGAGGGATTTTAGCTTGCAAGTCTAACCTTTTGGTAAATATCTGAATTGAGCGACAAACTGATGTGACTAATGTAATGTATCTAAGTTGGGTGTCACAGTTGTTCCCAGAACAGCAATGAAATGTAGAGCTAAAAGATAAACTTCAAAAGCATAGCAAAATCATTTTTAAAAAATCCAGCGTTAGCTCATGAAGGGCTATAAAGTCACAAAGCCAACATCCTGAATCTTACTGTGGAAGCTTCCCAACCTCTGCTAATGAGTTCTTTATCTAAACTGCTGCATTATGTCAAACAGAAAAGCTGTGGAGAAGAAAAAAGTAGTGTTGGTGCAGCCTGCTACAGCCTCTAATACCATACGATTGCAAATGAGAATCTCCATAAAGAGAAACCTGTCCAAAGCTGAGAGGCTGACTTTATGTTTTGCAGTGGGATTTTTTTCATCCTAGTGTAGTACTCCAAAAGCCCAGTTTGCACTTTCATTCCTCATGCAAGTTTCCTCTTTTCTCCTGACAGCCTGAGAATATCTTATGTGTGAATCGAGCTACTTATCAAATAAAAATTATTGATTTTGGATTGGCCAGAAGGTACGTACATGTAAGCCTGCTATGTATAATAAACAAATTATGAAACATCAAAAGCATTACATGTCTTTGCAAGGCTCAGTCTGATCCATTACAGCCTTCTACTGCCTTTGAAACAAGGCAGATGCAGGCCATTTTAAATAATCATCCTTAGGGATAAGTGTATTTTAACATGAACATAAAATTAATAACATTTCAATGTTTGATCATGTTTGAATAATATATCATGTCTGCTGCTGTTGGGGACAGGATACTGGGCTAGATGGAACATCAGTCTGACCCAGTATGGCATTTCTTATGTTCTTATATGCATATCTGAACACTGCCATAGATAGAATAGACATAACCAGTGGTCTGTCTAGTCTAGTATCCTGTCTCCAAATCTGCCTCCAGTACTAGATATTTTAAAAGAAGGTGCAAGATACCAGTAGTGGGCAATTATCAATAACATATACTAATATTAATTATTATAATGACCTGAAGACATTATATGTGGGCTGGATCATTGGCCCCATGGATCTGAGAGACCCAATTTTGTTCCTAAACCCTATTTGTGTAGAGAATGGTTTGTACCCTGAAGTTTTACAGCTTGCTAAACATTTGTTTGTTTGTAACAATTACCATCCTTGTTTTCCATCCATATGTCCAGTTGTTTTCTGAATCCTATTAAGCTCTAGGCATCAGTGATAGAAACTGAGTTAGAGACAGAATTACTATTTTCTCTCAACATTTCATTACCTAGATATCAACCAAGAGAAAAACTTAAAGTGAACTTTGGAACTCCAGAATTCCTTGCACCTGAAGTTGTGAACTATGACTTTGTCTCCTTTCCCACGGACATGTGGAGTGTAGGAGTCATTGCCTATATGCTGTAAGTAATACTTGCATCTCTACCATACAGACTGTTTCTTCTCTAATTTGTATCAACTTTCAAAAGTTGATTGTGTAACACGAATATTCACAAAAGCTGCACCTGTGTTGAAAATTCCAATCCTCTTCTGAAGGCTAATTCATGGAAAACTCCAATTTGCCTTTCAGTTCTGTCACATTGTACAGTTCTAGAGAACATCTTATGCTCACTCTGTGTGAGGAATTTCCATTAACATGGGTAGAAATTCTGAATGCTAAATGAGATCAGGACTTGCAATAGGAATCCACAACCCAGAGAAGAGAATTGCTATGCAGATCATAGAGCGATTTCTTGCTCTTCCAATATACATAATAATCTTTCCTTGGAGAACTGTTTTATTCAAGTGCAACAAAGGTATTATGGGTCAAGGCCTAATCTTGCCTAGCATCCTAAATGCTGGGTAATTTGTGAGCACATTCATCATCATGTAGGAGATATTCAGTACTGTATCTCTTAGGAGCAGTCCTTCTTGGGCAACAGTACATGGTGAGATGATAAAAGTACAACCATTTACAATGAAACAATGCCAGATAGAATAACAAAGAACATGGCTGAGGAGGAGGAATCAGACAAGTATTTAACTGCTTTAAATCAGCTAGCTAGATAGCATAGTTGTACAGATTTGGATTACGGTTTATTTTATATTCCGTGTGTATTTACTTCAGGCTCAGTGGCTTGTCTCCTTTTCTGGGTGACGATGACAACGAGACTCTCAACAATATCCTGGCTTGTAATTGGGAGTTTGAAGAAGAGGAATTTCAAGAAGTCTCTGAAGATGCCAAAGATTTCATCTCAAAGCTTCTCATCAAGGAAAAATGGTACTCAAATCCTGTAGTTCCATGCCTTTCAAATGAACATTCATTATACTGCAATACATTAGAAATGTTCCGTCACTTACACTACCAGACTCAGTGACAGTTCCAATCACTGTGATTATTTATGCCAGCAGTTCCCAACCCTGGGTTGCAACCCAAACAAGGGTTGTGGGGGCAATGCCGGCGGCAATACACACAAAAGGCAAGCTGCTCCCCGTGCCGGGAGCTGCCCCTAGGCCACCGCCACACTCCACTCCCAGCAGTGGGTTGCAGAATAAAAAGGTTGGGAACCACTGATTTATGCCCAAGTAGACTATAATAAGTTAATTTCACTGGTGTCCTCTGTTAAATTTCATACATACTGGTGTTCTGAGATAGTGGTAATGTACTATTATTATAGCACCAGACTTAACACTCCCAGTTATCATATATCAGCAACCACCGTTGCCAAAAGGGTGGGCAGCAAGCGTCATCCGTGAAAACTATTGAACTGTAAGGTCTTAGATGCACCACTTACTAACATTCTCTCCTTCTCTTAGCTGGAGAATGAGTGCAACCTCTGCCTTAAAACATCCTTGGTTATTGAACCACAAACTTCACTGCAGACTCCAAAATCAGGTCCTTGAGTCTGAATTTTCTTGTTCTTTGCTGGTGCCTTTTTTGTTGCTTCATTTTGTTGTTCTTCTAAGATTCTCTTCTATTTTTGAAGGCATGGTCAGACAAAACTTTTTATCCTGGTATAATTGTCATTATTTTGGTGTAAGAAAATAGTGGAGAGATGACATAAATCCTTAAACTGAGTAACTTCACCCAACCCATTGGAGAATAACCCCTAAAGGAATCAAGGGTGATATTCTAGCAGCATAAATTAATCAGAATACCTACATATGTGTTTTTTTCCTGGCCCCAGTGTAATTTGCATTAGTATCCAAACCCAGTGCAAATCATACCCGGATATATGTTTATCTGCCCATCCACTGAGCATGCCCTGTCATTGGCATTTGTTTGCTTTGCTTTTTTATTTCAGGTTTGCGTATTCGTGCATGTTCAATGGCTTTGTATGCCTGTGTGAAGAAGTACTGGTTACTGTATGTTGCTCAGTAGATCCATTTGTTACCAAAATAACAGACAGTACACAAAAGAGTGTGAATCGCTGGGGTGTGCAAAGCCACATTCTTCCAGTTTTCGAGCACACAAAGGAATTACCCAGATTCTTGCGTCAACTCCTGTTAAATGGCGTGCCTCCCTACCCAACTCACACCATTTTTACTTCCTAGAATCCCAAGCAGTCCACATTTTTTAATTTAAATGGCTTTTTGTTCCCCACTCCCGCTTCCCCCAACTGCAGTGTCCTTGGAGACAGCCAGCCCAGTGGGGAGGAGGTGAGCAGTTGACAGAGGTGAAAGAACAGGCTAGGGGCTATTTAGAAAAGCTGGACTTGCACAAGTCCATGGGGCTGGCTGCAATGCGCCTGAGGGTGCTTAGGGAATTGGCCAGTGTGACTGAAGAGCCTCTGGCCATTATATTTGAAAGCCTGTGGCAATTGGGACAGGTCCCAGATGACTGGAAAAGGGCAAATATTGTGCCCATCTTTAAGAAAGGGAAGAAGGAGTATCTGGGCAACTACAGATTGGTCAGCCTCACTTCAGTCCCTGGAAAAATGATGCAGCAGGTCCTCTAAGAATCCATTTCTAAGCATTTGGAGGAGAAGAAGGTGGTGAGGAACAGTCAGCATGGATTCACCAAGGGCAAATCATGCCTGACCAACCTGATTGCCTTCTACGATGAGACGACTGGTGCTGTGGATGTGGGGAGAACAGTGGACTTGATATATTTTGACTTTAGCAAGGCTTTTGATATAGTCTCCCACAACATTCTTGCAGGCAAGCTAAAGAAGTACAGGTTGGATGAATGGACTGCAAGGTGGATAGAAAACTGACTGGATTGTTGTGCTCAAAGGGCAGTAATCAATGGCTCAGTGTCTAGTTGGGAGTCAGTATCAAGTGTAGTTTGCCAGGAATCGGTCCCAGGGCCAGTTTTATTCAATATCTTTATCAACAGTCTGGAAGATGGGAAGGAAAGCACCCTCAGGAAGTTTGTGGATGACACCACTCTGGGTAGAGTAGTAGATAATATGCTAGAGAATAGGGCTAGGATTCAGAGAGACCTAAACAAATTGGAGAATTGGACCAAAAGAAATCTCATGAGGTTCAATAAGGACAAGTGTAAAGTCTTGCACTTAGGACAGAACAATCCCATGCACCAGAGCAGGCTGGGGACTGACTGGCTAAGCAGCAGCTCTGCAGAAAAGGACCTGGGGGTTACAGTGGACAATAAGCTGCATACAAGCCAACAGTGTGCCTTTGTCACCAAGAAGGCTAACAGCAGACTGGGCTGTGGGAGCATTGCCAGCAGATCAAGGGAAGTGATTATTCACCTTTATTTGACACTGATGTGGCCACATCAGGAGTACTGTGTCCAGTTTTGGGCCCCCACTATAGAAAGGGTGTGGACAATTTGGAGAGTCCAGTGGAGAGCAACAAAAGTGGTTATAGGGCTGGGGAACATGACTTATGAGGAGAGGCTGACAGAACTGGGCTTGTTTAGTTTGGAAAGGGAAGACTGGGAGGGGGATTTAATAGCAGCCTTCAGCTACCTGAAAGGTGGTTCCAAAGAGGATGCAACTAAACTGTTCTCAGTGGTGGCAGATAACAGAACAAGGAGCAACAGTCTCAAGTTGCAGCAAGGTTAGATATTAGGAAAAACTCTCTCACTAGGAAGATGGTGAAGCACTGGAATGGGTTATCCAGAGTGATTGTGTAATCTCCATTCTTAGAGGTTTTTAAGACCTGGGTAGACAAAGCCTTGGCTGGGATGATATAGTTCAGGACGGTCCTGCTTTGAGCAGAGGTTTGGACTAAAAGACCTCCTGAGGTCCCTTCCACCCTTAATTTTCTACGATTCTATGATAAGATCCTTTTAAGGGCCCTGCACAATATTAACACTGTTAAGTGTGCAAACACCTACACATGATTCAAAAGATAAGCCCAGATTTTTCAAAAAAGGATCTATAATGTCAAAAACACTCTGATCTGTTCTGGCCTTTCTGAATTCTTTTCAACAGAACTTCTCTATTGTTTATCCGTAGTCAAGAAATGAGTGGAAGCTAAGAGCTGGCATTTTCCAAGAAGTGCCTTGAGTCAAACAAGGTTGAGAAGCACTGCCCTAGTATACTTCCCCATGATCCTCTGGTAGCAAGGATCTGGGAAAGCAGGCTGTTTTGGCACATGCTTCAGAAAGCATGGGATGCTATGTGACTGAATAAGTTCCACTGCCAGTCATATGGCAGGAAAGCCGTGTGCATTCCAAGGAAGCTCTTGCCTATGCATTCTGTGTCTGTGCTTGCACTGCTTTAAAAAGTCCTTTTATTTAAACTACTGATGTTGCAGTGCTTTGCCTTTACATTAAGCAGAGTTAAGAAGAGGTGGACCTTCAACTAATGCTTTCACTGGTTTTCCCCCTCCTCTAGGAGAAGGCTATGTGCAGCTCAGAGTCTCAAGCACCCATGGATCAATGACCTTTCTGAGAGGGCAGCCAAATGAAAGGTTTGTCTCATGTCTTAGTTTTCCCCTCAGTAGTAAATACCGCAAGCTGTATCTGTGGTATCTGTGGAGAACCAAAACATATCACTGTTCATACCGTCAGCACACTAACATAACCCCCGGCACAACTCTGAAAAGCAGTGTCACCATCACCTGGAAAATACTGGCATAATCAGTAGGGCAAGTCTGTTGCAACCATGAGAAACAGGGGGTAAATGATGGGGAAGCCTTTGACTACATATAAAATTGTACGTAAGCAGCAAATCCAGTGGGTCAAATCCTGACTGAATAGAATTCCATGAGAAAACTCTCATGGGCTAGAGATGATGCAAGAGTTTACTCAGTAACTGTTCAACACTGAAAAGTTTTGGGTTCTTATAGAACAAGCTTGGTTTAAAGAGGGATAAAAATGAGGTTGCACTGTTATTTCTTTAGAAAAATAGCAATAAAAAAATGAGAGGTACACCAGCATAAATCAGTATGGCTTCAGTAGAACCAAGCTGTTGTATCTGAGGCTACACTGAACCTGGCCCTAAAATGAAGTTGTTCCATGTTCTTGAGGATCCTGTAAGCAAACAGGATGGTTCTTACAAGCCATCTCTCTCTCATTCCTTTTGCCTGTATTACTATCTATGCCCTTTAATTAACAAACACTCCATTAGTGGTTCTCAGACTGGGTTGGTCAGCTCTCCCCAAGGGGTGAGGGCGACATAAGTCTGCTCTCATTCTCTGTCTCCAGTCTTTGGCTGCAGCCTATTTGCTCATCTGCTTTGAAATCTGTCTACCTCAGATGGCAGGATGTCCTCTCCCGCCCCCACCCCCTAAACCACCGCAGCAATTCCCACAGCACCTCACCACAGGAACTGGTGTCTCTTTTGAAGCACCATGGGAACCAATGCAAAGGACTTTTGAGGCACATCTGAGGAAGACCAATTGTGGGTCATGAGATGAGCCAGAGAAGACATACACCATAATAACCATTTCATTTTAGCTTTGCACCACAAATAGCAAAATAAAAAAGGTACCACTTTTCACTACATGGGGATTTTTTTTATCAACATCATCCACATGCTAAAACAGAGTCAAAGTTATGGAATAATTGATGTGTGTGGTTTTGCTGGCCATGTTTTGATTTAAAAAATGATCATCAATCAGAGATTGAAAATGTCAAGTAGGAATAGTCTACTATGATTTGGGATCTGTCTATAATGCTGTGTTGCGCTATATCATACTGAGATATCTAAACTAACTTTAAACAAGGTACCTGGGGTATAGGAAGATGTCTAGCCACAGCAATACAAAGCTCAGGACAGGCTAATTTACCTTTATCATCACTTGCATTCACTACCAAAGACACATGATTTCAATGTATGTTAATGCAGCCACACCTAAGTTTGGAAGAAAAATATGGGACCTTGTTTGTCCTATATCCTCAGCATTAATCCTCACCTCACTGAATATATGTCAGTTAAAAGCAGATGAGGTTTTGGACCTATTACCAATTTTGTATTTTTCATAATGTTTTACCAGTCCATAAGGATTGATGACTGATGTTTTCTCCTATATGTTCATTTAAGGGCTAGTAGCTGGGCAACAAATGCACATTGAAAAACAAGCATTACTGCAAGAAATAGACTGTTTCTTGCAATTAACTTTCAGGGAAATTCAAGTGTGAGATAATCTGGATTACTGATGGCTAATCCATTAAAAGAAGGAATGCAGTGCATAACAAACTTTTTCAAACTTTGTAAAATTATAACTTGGCTATAATCTAACCTGCAAGGAATAGATGGGGCTTGGAGTTTTTCCCCCTAAATGAATATCAGTTTCTGTTTACTCTGTCAGTGGATTCATAGTTGTGTTCATGTTTTGGTTTTGCCCATCAGCTCACAGTATTGTTCATACATTTAGATTGCCTTATTGAATTCATAGTAATATATTTACACACTAATTTATTTTAAAAGCGTCATCATGACAATAGGGGCAAAATAAGAGAGTTGTTACATTTCATGAAAATCCCCCTGTATCATTTCTCCAGTAAAAAACAGGCTTTTCCCTTTTTTATGTTGCAAAAAGCATCAAATGATGTTTTACACAGTGAGCAGTGGTGGGGAAGAAGTGCCCTTTGTAAGCAAAAAGATTCTGCATGGTGCTGTCTTCCTTGCAGACAAAGAAACCAGCTTGTGGTTTTCCCGGGGAATTTAACCAAATAATTACAAAAAGTATATTGCTGAATTAACTTGATTCTGGTTTTATGTTGCAGAAAAGCTGCTGTGTGGTTACTGCTGCTAAGAGTTTTGGAAATATCAGCAGTTCTGGTGCTTCCACTCCCCGTGATGACTTGAGGCTTTTACTAAGTGGACCAATACCACTTTAGCTGCAGGATAAGTCCCAGCATTACTGAGCTGCTGCTGCTTGATTCAACTTTCAGAAGAGACATGCTGCTATCAAAGTTCACAGAAAGGTGTTTCTGCTCAGTCACCATGTATTTCATGCCTGAGATCACTATCCTAGTGCGGATTTAGAATTATATTAACTCTTGTCTTGTCTTGCTTTCCTGAATTACCTATTTGAGATTTTTGGGAGATTAAAGCTTTTATAGCTCTTTCTCATCTCAGCCCAGCAAGCAGAATATTATTTCATTGCAATTGTAACTGAGGTTGATTTGAAATTGAACCCTAAAAATGCTTTGCAAAAAAACAAAAAAGACTAGCAGTCACTTCAATACTGGAGATTCAAGATCTAATTCTCCTCTCACACTAGTATGAATAAGGATTAAGTCACCAAAGTTAAAGCTATACTAAGCTAATAACAGTGAAATGAAAACAAAGCTGTCTCTGTGTTTTGACATCTCTTTTGAGCAGGCTGACTAAAGTATTACCTTTATCTTTTTCTAGCATGTAACCAGCAATGTAACTGGGGGGAGATTGATAGGGGAAACTGCCCCAGTACCTCACTAAACCATCCCAGCCAAGTGTGTGTATAACCTGCTTGTGAAAATTTCCAAGGACAGAGATTCTACCACCTCCCAAGGTAGCCTGTTCCATGTTTGACCACCCTCATAGTCAGAAAATTCCTCCTAATCTCCAACCTAAATTTCCTCTGCTGCAGCTTGAGGCCATTGTTTGTAATCCTGTCCCCTATGGCCACGGAGACAATCCCATCTCCATCCTCTCTATAATCACCCTTCAGGTATTTGAAAACTATTATCAAGTCCCGGCTTCATCTGTTCTTCTCCTAATTAAATAACCCTAATTCTTTCAGCCTTTCCTCAATAAGTCTTGCTTCCCAGGCTCCTTATCATTTTTGTCACTCAGTGCCAGACACTTTCCAATCTGCTCACAGATTGGATGCATGAGCATACATCCAGTTACACCCTTTACTTCAACAGAGAATTATTTTTCTTCCATTACTTTGGACTTACGCCAATGTGACCATTATAATTCTAGTGAAGTCAATGAAATGGTATTAGTGTAAAATTAATGAGAGGAAAATCAGTCCTCAATCACAACCTAGACTGGGGGGACTGGATTTTGAAACTTGACGACAATTTTCAACAAGTTTTCTTATGTCTTCATTGTGCTTCACAGCTCACAAAGGGGACTGGGAATGTTTGTGACCCTTGAAGGCATCAGAGACAGCCCAAGTTAACAGCATTTGAATGGCAATAATCCCCACCCAATAAGATGTTTGTCATACATTTGTCCATTCAATGTAAAATATAAAGAAGAGAGTCTAATGCTTTATATTCATTGGACATCACAGATGTGATATCACTGACTGACAGTCACACAACTCCAGTTCTGTTTAAAGTTGTGAAGCCATTTTGTTACGTATTTTGAGTTCTGCCAGCAAATGAAGAGTATTGCTCACCTGAGAGAATGCTGCAGACTAGGGCTTCTAATGAATGCTATTGTATTGTATTGACTATTGCATTTACTCACATGCATATAGCATTATCAGACCAAATGAAGGAAACTCTTAGGAAAGCAGAGAAAGCACTCTCCCTTTCTTACCTCCTGTTCAAAGTCCAAGGTCATACACACAGTCTCCATCTTTATCCCCACTTCTAACACAGATAAACTTGCACTATCATCAGTGGAAATGGGTCTGGGAAAGAACTGATTAAATCTGAGCAAGGGAACTAGGATGTGATCTTTCAAAGGGTGCAGCAAGCTGCTTGCTTTAATCACCATTCTCGATGGTGTTTCCCAAAGTGTGATAACTACAGAACACCTTTCTGTAAAGTTGGAACTTATATGATATGCCAATATCCTGATGACCTGATATTGTTAGCTGCTTGCATAAACAACTCAGTGATGATACTGAAAACAGCAGGCTAAAATTGGAATAATAAGATTTTGCTACACATTTCAGTGCCAGTAACATGTCTTTCTTTACCTTAATGTTCTTTAGATGTATAAGCAAAAGTTGCATGTAATTTTGAATCTTGATAACTATACTAAAATAACTGTGTGCCTATAGTCTTAGAACTACTATCTATGTAAATATTAAGTTGAACTGATGGTATCTGATGTTTGTGGGAAATGAAGAACTTATGAATACTGGAGTAATAAGTAAGAGCTTGATGATGCCTTTTAAGAAATAAACCCATGTTAGAAGGGTTGAAAATAAATTGCACCAAGTCAGCCATGTTCTAAGAGAACATGGTCTCCACTACACTCTTTTATCGGATGCAGTATATTGGTACCCCCACACACACAAGTACACACCTGTGTTTTCACACATGTGGCTATATACTTCCACTGGCTACCACTAAAGCCATGGGACCCCAAGATCCCCACCCACTTTGGGGATTCTAGCACATCTGTCAACGTCAGCCCTAAGTTTTCTTTGGACGTCATAGACACAAGAATTAGGGTTGACTTTAGTCTCATCTTAGAGGAATTCTCTCCTTCATTAATGCATCTATACAGGGCCAGATCCAGTATGGATCTATTACTATACTAGAGGGACTTGGCTTTCACTCAGATATAAGATAAGGGTCAGCTAAAACTTTACCCATGCTAGTCTCTCTCTTTACATTTCTCATTCTTGCATTGTTACCAATGCATCTGCATCACTGGTTAAAGATACGAGATAGCCCAGGCTGTTAACATCTGATGGATTTTAGCAAGATGTCATTTGGTATGGTGAAATGGTATTGTCTGGTTCCTAAAATCTAATGCAAGTGTAATACTTGCAACAAAGATATTAGCGAGAAAGTGCAAGAAACATAACAGCAAGCATTATTGTTCCTGGTTATCATATTGATTTTGTTTCTGTAGTGGAGTATAAGATGATGAGGAGAAAGGCTACCTGTACATAGTTATTATCAATACTTTTCATTATTGTTAGCAACAAATGGCTTAAGTAACTTAGTGCTTATGTTAGTATGCTTGCTAAAAAAAAGTCTCAAATGGTATTTATTTGTACTCTGATCATTGTAATTTTAGTAAAAAAAAAATACTTGACACATAGCTGCATTAGTAGAGTTTTGGAAAGCATAATTCTGTCTCATTGCACTTTGAACAGCATGATGTTTTGTTTTGTTTTTGTTCTGTTTTTTTTAAATATTATGTACCATGTATAGCAGCTACAGATTGCTATATTCAATTATTATTTTAACAAATCATTATGGATTTTCTACTAGGTTATGAACATTAATTTTCAAAAGCAAGTTGAGTGAATGAGTGTGTTTGCTTACTGATATTTCTTGCTGTGTATTGCTGTAAAGATTTGATTGGAAAACTGTGAATTACTGTAACTGAGAGAAGGTTTGGGTGTGAAGGGCACTTTATTAGCTATGGCTACCATGTTCAGCTGTATATTCACAGATAGGCAGAGATGGCTGCAACTGCAACCAGAGAACAGAGTGAAACAGAAGCATCAGTAAGTGGGTAAGAAGGAAAAAGGTGTCAAGATGCAGTATCCAACTATAAATATGACCATATTTTTCTTGGCGCAGAAAAGTTATGGGCCAGATCGTGAAGTACAGTGATTTACACAAACTGAGGCTTTGAGCCTAAGACTTATGTACAACCTCTCTGTTAGATTGTGTAAAGAAAAATAATAACTTTTTGTTCATGAGAGGAAATCTGCAAATATTTCATTACAATGTTTTTGAAGTGATGTTCAATAGGAAGTCAATGGGGAGTGAAGGCTCTCAGATGCTTAGAAGAGGTACTCAATATCTCAGAAGATACTGTTCTTGGAGCATCCACACTTCGCCTGTTTAGGCACCATGTTGCAAAAACCACCTAAGTAAATCTTGGAATGCCCATAAGAGTTAGGATTAATTTTTGCAAATAAAACAGAGAGATGAAGTGACTTGCCCAGGATGAAACACTGAGATCAGAATTAATTGATCTGAGATATAAAACATACTCAGTCCTCTAAATAAGATATGGGTAGCTTTTCAATTTGTTATGCATGTTGAATACTATGGAAGTTATGGGTAAGTGAGTTTTACTACAAACAACGTACGCAAAGTTATATATAAAAAGAAGCACATCCTTACATGACAGATGGTTTGAGACCATATGATAATCTAAATATTGCATCTGAAGCTAAAGTTATTTATTAAAATTCACACAAGTCAGATGTTTTCAAAAGGTGCGTGCTGTACGTCACTGAGCTGAGACATTGGCCTCAATTCTGCTTTCTACAGGACACACAGAATAACACCAATCCTATTCCATGGTCACAGCGAAAGAAGTATTTGGTCTATCTTTTATGACACAAGCAGTATTGGAGCCTAGTATTAGAGGTGAAACTAGTTTCTGCGCCCTGAGAACTGTTTAGTGATCAAAGGGGAAAAAAACTCTGCTGCCTAATATTAAAAAAAAATCATCCTAATGTTTAACCAGTACATGCATTTTTCTGATAGTGATACCAGCAATGTAACAGTCTAGAAATTATACCATCTCTCCTACTGTTTGTATCGCCAATTAATTATGGCTTTTTTCAGCAGACTGGCTCCCACCAACAGATGCCATTGAGAAACATTAGCATCATTAGCAATGTTCAGACAATAGAAATCTGAAAACAAAATTACATGGCCGCATAGCTACTTCTGACCTTGTGAACTTTCAGAACACGACAGTGAGCAAAATGAAAGCAAGTTTCCTTTAAGTCATGCTTACACCAGTTATAAATGCTTACTTATGTTCCAAATGCCGTTAAAATAGCTCATTCTTCCTGCCTTCCAAAAGAGATGTTGCATCTTTACACATCATGTTTATCGTCAATATATAGTTGCAATTATGTCTAGTGGGAATGCGAATAACATTGCATGAATCCATTTAGGGACATTAGACAGTCGATTTCACCTTCCATGAAGGCTTATAGATCAGCAACTAACTACCTATTTAAAACTGCATCAAGGTATCGCTTTGTAAATACGTTGTGAAGCTATACTGTTGAAGTCGCTAAACATGCAATTGATCACATGTAGATGAAGTAGCACTCATGTTTGTGTGTCTGACAGCAAATATTTAAAATTAGAGGAATGGTGTAACAGTGCTAGGAATACAAAATGTGTGTATGCTTGTGTAATGTATAAGCTTGTTCTTGGACAACATTTTTTGTAGTTAACACTTGTATCAATGGTATGTATTATTTGTGAAAAACATATAGCAATCATGTATGCAAACTATTATAGAATAAATACTAATTCTTACTCCAAGCTTTTTGTGTTGGTT